ATATACTCCCATATATTAGCGCACTCACTCTTAATATGCTTCTCAACTTGCGTTTAATTACTATAACGGAACGAAAAAGACAAGCAAAATACAAGAAATTCCAGGAAGATGAAGTAAAAATTCCCCATAGGGCGCTTTAAGCACAATAAAACCTATCCCTATACTAAAAGTGTGCAACACCTTGGAAACACCAACAACGCATCGCAACCCTGAATCCTGCACAACCCTGCTTTCATTAATGCTTTTTTCTGTCGAGCTGGAATCGATAAGAACAAGTCCCAACCTGTCTTCTTCACAATGCCACACCATCCACGCTTATCTCCCTCTCCCCTTCGCACGCATCTCTCTTCACTTTTCTCTTCCACTCTCGTGCTCACCTTAACATAAAAAAGTGAATGAAACAAATTAAATTAATATTACTGTTCCTCGCGTTTTTCTCTCTAAATAGGTGGCGGGACTTGCAACACGATAGATGAAGGGTGACACGAGTTCGTATTTATTTAAAAATGGACAGCGGGACCATAAACAATGAAGGGTCTCAGCCGTGTCCATAGTGAGGCATCGAGGGTCGGCGACGCACTTCTGTAGTTGTCAGATCGCACCAGAAGGGATAAAAGGGAAGTTAAAAGAAGACCCATATCTGACAATGTCGTCCTTCAGCACCAAGGTAGTACTCAACCTATCAACCGGCGATACAGGAGGGCAACGGTCGGGAAATGACTAATCCCTAAGGTGGGTGAGGAGGTCGGATCTGCTTAATCCCGAGGGAAGAGATGGATCAGCATGTTCCAGATACGATTGAAAGCTTAAAATTGAAAGATTAAAAGCTTAAATTTACTTCAAGAGTAGTTCTAGGACTGGTGATTTCGAAATCGAGCACGTTGAGTGGCTGATGTTCTTGTCTGCTGGAGGGGCGATGACTAATCGTCGCCGAGTGCGTCTCACATCAGGATTCGCGCAACTTGAGAATGAAAATATCCTGAAATCCGTTGAAATTGGCATAGAAAATGTGGATATTACTTGGGTTTATTAAGATAAGATTCGATGTTGCTAACCCGAAGATGGTAGGGACGTGGAAAATCCCAAAAATCCATGAAACCCACCAGTATGAGACAAACTCAGAATCTGCAACATGCCCGAAACCCTCATACTTGCCTTCCTCTTAATATTTCTTTTCGAGAAATTTTCCTGGAGACGAATGAAAAGTCTTTTGCCTAATTTTCCTTCATTCCCGAAAGAAATGTTACTTTATTTTGATATGCTGAATTTTATTTTATAAGTTTGGCTCGTTTGGCAACTTTAAACTAATGGGCTTCCTTGGTTTCGTACGAAGTTTTTAAAGTCCTAAGTTATGGACAAAATGGTGGAAAAATCAGCCCAACGGAAAACATTATTTATGGAAACTATTTTAAATTATTAATATTGAGGGAAGAAAACCTGGTAATGCTTGAAGTTCCCCCCAATAGTTCCTCGTTGGAAAAAAGTTAATCTTTCCACTTAAATTCACCCTTGCTGGGGAGTAGGTGCCAATAGTTGTCATTGCATATTTCGTGCAAATATACATTTTCATTTTCATTCCACCACCGACACCTTCGGCCCTCACGTTCCTTTCTGGCAACGATCTAGATTTTCATTGAATTTCCACTTCTTGGCTTTCTCAATGAATCTGTCAGGTCGAGTCGGCGTGCTTGTATCCAAGTTGAAGGCAATTCTTGAGGTGAAGGTTTTGATACATATTTATTCTTCAGAAACACGCGCGCGCGCGCGCACACACACACACACACATACATATTTTAAATCCTTATTATGTAATCTATTCTTTAAATTCAGTTGAAATTATTCAGGTTATCTTCAGTCATTTTACCACAATCAAGATGCAAAAACAACAATAGCTCTTATTGAATACTTTTTGATGCACACACACTGCAATGCTAAATCGATGGCGCTACCTAAGCGTGGCAATTTCCCTTTATTCTCTGTGAATCAGTTGAAAGGAATATTTTTACCTATGGACCTGGTTATTTTCAGCAGACCTTTGAACACCAGGAATATCGTCTTGAAAAACAAATTCTTTCTGGCAGCAAGCACAGTTCCGTCGGGCTTTCCTAATTATGATCTCCTGCTTTTTCCTCTCAGATGAGCCAGCTCCTGGCCACTTTTTATGAAGCAGCTGTTATCTCTTTCATTCCTTGCAAGAATTCTTGAAAAAATATATCGCTAGCTCTAACCGCTGTTCCAATATCATGAACTGATTGAGAAGTACAGTCCATAATTGGCACTTTCCCAAAATGAATTTCCTCGGGAAAAAAACCTAGTAGCTAACACAAAATCGCGGATGTATTGAAGCAGTTGGAGGAAAAAAATTAAAAGGAAGTTGGCCTATGCGAATGAAATGAATTTATCCCAGAGAGGAATGATGATGAAAACAAATCGCCAAAATCAGGAAAGCATTTCAAAGTGCTGCACGTTTTTCTTGTCTCATAATGTGCAGAGCACAAAAGGAGTCCAGCCAGAGCAAAATCCAAAAACCAGGCGGTGGAAGACGAAAGTGCAGTAAGAAAGCAGTAAATATTGAATACGACGATAAATGAAGCAATATTTGGGATGGTACAAAAAAAATTCCAAGGTCTTGTCAATTGGTTTCCTGGCATTCTGAAATAAATCAAAACAGCACGACCCTTAGAAGCACATCAGCCATACAATGACAATACCAATAACAATAAAAATATCCATATCAATAAGAGTAACAAAGTCAAGACAAATGACAACATCAATACCCTTACGAAAATGTCTTATAGGATTCCTATATATTCCTATAAGAATCCTATAGGAACCTAAAGGAATCCTATAGGTTCCTATATGCCCCATAGAGTTCAGTTCGGGACCTATAGAGTCCCCTATAGAACCTATAGAGTTCCCTATTAAATGTGACATCATAGAATAGCTGGAAGCGTCTACAGAGTCAGCAGAGCTGCGTAGAAAAATAACAGACCCAGAGATCCCGTTTTTCTCAAGCTTTGAGGCATAAGCGAGATGCGGGTCGTCCCGATCGGCCCGATTCAACCCGCGGGTGGGGTCGGGTAGGAACACGATAAGAATCTGGCCAATGGAGTCAAATTCGAAAAAGTCGATTCGTGCAGGCCTCTTGCGGACAGACAGACATACTGACAGATAAACAGACATACGGTGAATGTGGGGCATTATTATACTGGGTGGCCATAAAGTCTGGAAACAGGATACATTCCTTTTTTTTTCTCCCCTTGCAGACAACCTACAGTTCTCGTACCTTCCATATGTTCCTTGGAACGTGGCCGATATCTACTTTGGGTGATTTTTTAGCACGTGGATACCCCCAGCGTGCGGATTTCCACCTCGAGAGACATTTATTCTATTTCAAATCTACCTGAAGAGGGACAGTGATGATTTATCCAAAGCTGTTATCAACAGGACGGCACCGCACATATTTGGAATTCCGCCATTAGTCTGACATACTTAGTGAGATTTTACTTTGTGATTGTCTGGTTTCTGCTGGATGGAGGAAATATTTTTCATCGATGACGTCGTTTTGAACGGAGCTCACAATACACAGGAAAAGCACTGCCAGTTTTATCGTAGAGAACACTCAAAAAGTATAGATAAGATATTCGGGATATTTGCTCCGTAAAAGAGGACTCTCACCCATATAACTCTATGAAGATGTCATCTGCGTCCTTCTATCACTTTCATCTATCAGTAGCATAATTATTTAATATATCTAATTCCCCAGTAAAACGTGTGTGCATGCGAAAATAACAACTAGCAAGGGGAGGGGCGGTAACATTCACCCGCCCCAGGCGGAAAATTACCTACGTAGTTACGACACTGCCTACCCGACCCCACCCGCGGATTGTGTCGGGCCGATCGGGCCGACCCGCATCTCGCTTATACCTCAAAGCTTGAGAAAAATGGGGTCTCTGGGTCTGTTATTTTTCTACGCGGCTCTGTTGACGCTGTAGACGCTTCTAGCTATTCTATGATGTCACATTTNATCTCGCTTATGCCTCAAAGCTTGAGAAAAACGGGATCTCTGGGTCTGTTATTTTTCTACGCAGCTCTGCTGACTCTGTAGACGCTTCCAGCTATTCTATGATGTCACATTTATGCTGACTAGGTCATTACTTTCCGCCAGCAGCTCTAAGCGGCTGGAGAAAAAGACCCCCCGAAAGCGTATTCGCCTACACCTATCAAGAAACTTGGTTGTGAACCGAGCTATCCGCCCGATCCGCCGGTAGAGTCGGTTCAATAGAATGCATCCGCATCTCATGCATGGTTCAAAATCATCCCTTATCTAATGCCTGGGTGCTCCAAATTTCAATTACGTGTCTCACTTGAAGGTAACAAGGCAGAACGCCCAGAGAATTAACATACATCCAGTTGAGGTTTTCCTGATGACGTAACGCATCTCCTATCCTTGATCCGCAGGGTGCGACTTTGGTATTCAAATGTTATGCCTTCACTACATGTATTTTCTCTTATTGCTAATTAAATGTCAGCCCTGAGTTTTTTATGTCTCTTGAAATTTTGTTACCCGCGAAGCGGATCTCGCGGGACACGTATGTGGTCTAGCATTGGACATATTCGGTGGCATTTCACGTTAGATCTGGTGAATGGAGCAATAATGTTTACGATATTGTGACAGTGAAAGAGGCTCATAGTGAATCGGAAGTAGGACCAATTCTAAAAAACAATTATGCGGCACGAGTACGATATTCTCGATTAGTTTACTGTCAAAGAGGATTCTAGACTCGCATCAACTGGAGAAGGTGCCACCTGCGTCATGCTATCAGTTTTAGATAACCGTGTTCGTTGGTGAGGAACGTTGATAATGCTGCCATTCTCCATCATGAAACCGTTTAACTTGTCCTCGTGATATCTTCCCCGTATTGAAGTAAAAGGCAGAACACTTCAGCATTTCAGATTTCAGTTCTATGAGCTCCCTCCATTCAACAAAGAATAGCGTGATGGATGACGAGGCTTTCACGGGACTGCGACGCCTGCAGGGCATCCTGAAGGACAAGAAGCTGGATTTCAACGTGGAAGAGTTCCTGGAGAAGATGTCGATGCATGATCTTATATATCCCAGGGACAAAAGAGAGACAATGGCGAAGAACAGGGACAACGAGAGGATCGACGCTGCTTTCGTCATTCTGTTGCAGCAAGATCCAAGGCCAACCTTCAAGAAAGTAAAACAAATCTTAAGTGAAATGAAGATGGATAACGTACTGAAGAAGCTCGAAGCTGCTTTGAGAGGTAAGTGCCAATAATTTCTTAGACATGGGGCGAACTTGATTTTGAACTGTAACCAGACCAATATAGCCTTACGAAGAAAAGTTACAGTATAACTTAGTCCTAATCCACAAACTTCTCGTTTCAAAAAGATTATTCATGTATATCAGTAGAGACATGAGGGCATATGGAATGGAAGAACTGATAATTTTTGCGACGGTAGCTCTGTTCATAAGATTTCCTGCTGAAACTAGAAGCTTAATGGGGCTCATGCCTCCAGATAATGACTATTGATGTTGTCATTTGTCTTGAATTTGATACTCTTATTGAAATGGATATTTTTTTTTGTTATTGGTATTTTCATCGCAATTCTGTGGCGGATCAAAGAGACCATTCATAACCTTAGGGATTCTATTTCCCCAAACAAATTATCACTTCTCGACTTTTCCCCGAATTGGAACGAATCACTATGAGCGTGATTGAAATATCCTTCTTGTTGAGAAATGTACGAGGCTTGTTCCCTAAGTGAACTGATGCCTTCGGTTCTTCTCGCTGAAGCAAATATAGCCAAAATATTCAGAGTACAACCAAACCCTTCTTGAGACAGTGCCTTCTCACCCTTTTTTTGAGTCAGCTTTTGATACATTGCTTGCAGAGAGATTGTGCACCTTCGGAGAAATACTTAATTTCAGTCAGGGCGCTCGCATGGTGATATTGCTTGGAAGGGAATTCTTCCCGGTGCTCCGCCGATCAGGTTCCCATGCGGTGTAACCTGATTGGTGGATAGTCTGCTTGAAACTGAATGTGTTTGCCTGATGGGGAACAGCCTATTTGAGGTAATTGCGTGCCTGTACTTGTGAATTTCCTATAAGGAGACTAGCTTGAAGGAAAATAATATCGAAACGGTCCCAAATTTCCTATTGGTGTACTTCCTAACCCCACAATATTGTTTTTCACATTTGTCTCACCTGAGAAAAAATCAGCGAGTGAATGAATTTCATCCCCCAGCATTGACATGGTTTCTTAAGATATGTTTCTTTTTTTCTGCCAAGATCCGGATAATACTGAATCCTCTGAATAAGATTCCATCATTTGACACGAGTATCAAAGACAGTATTTGACATCATTCTGGGAGGCTCGAACGTGGAGCGATTTCAAGAAAGCAACATACTTGGAGCTCCGGAACCGAACGGAAGTGGTTTCACAGGCTGCAAGAAACAGTTCCAGAAGCTCTTGAAAACACGCAACGTCGTGGCATGTATCGTGCTTCTGATTGCTGTCGGCACGTACTCTATGGATCTACGAGAATTTTTGGTCAGCGTGCTTGCATTTGGTATGGTGGATCATTCTGAAACGCAGCTTTCCAGTCCATTGTTAGTGAAAAATCTCCAATTTTGAACAATTAATATTGATATTCTATTCTTCATTATCCCCGACAGTATCAAATGCTGAATCAAAGGGTGAGAAGATACTGTCTCAGAAACAGGTTGGTTCTACTCTGAATATTTCGGTTATATTTGCTTCAACGAGAAGAACCGAAGGCATCAGTTCATCTAGGGAACAAACCTCGAACATTTCTCAATAAGAAGGATATTTCAATCACGCTCATAGTGATTCGTTCCAATTTGGGGAAAAGTCGAAAAGTGATAATTTGTTTGGGGAAATAGAATCCCCAAGGTTATGCTAACACCTTATTCCATTTGGGGGACATACATGAGTAAACCTGAGAAGCATTGATCATGGGAACATGGGATAGTAGACATTTGGGGAATATTGAGAGATGTGATGGTACAGTGAAATACTTGATTATGCATCGATCACTCCCAAGACATGAGGAGACTAAACTTTCAGGCAAGCTGTAGAATAATGCGGAATTCCCTTTTGTGTAATGGGCGAGGTGGGAAGCCCTTCATGCTGAGGACACACGTGACAAGTTGGCAAAGGACGTATTTGTAAATACTTCTCCAAATTTTGAACAAGGAAACAGATTGTACAATATTTCAGTCTGGTGATTCGGCAGCAAAAAGAGGAACATGGGACGAAGAGTATGTCGAATTTTTGCTCAATAGCTCTAAGTCGACCATCTTGAAAAACCAGGGATATGTCATTCTATTCCTGCTAATACTACGACAAATAGGGCGCGTTTGCACCCAGACTCTACGTGTGGGTGCAATGGATACATCAAGCATAACATTTACTCAGCTGAGGCACACAAGGAAAAGTGAAACCTTGATAAGTTTCAAAAATTGTTATGTCGTTTGGGAAAGGAATAGTTCCAAAATCGACCCAAATTTAAACACAAACGCATCCAAACCTTTCTTTCCGTACCGACCTTTCCAAACAGAGCGAGGACGCTCCAAGGAAAAATTCAGCAGGAGGATCTTTAGTCGGAGGAGTGAAAGGTCTTATTGTAAGTGGGAAATCTTGGCAGAGGTACGGAAAACAATGTTCCTCTACGGGATCTTGCACAGGGAGGGCCAAATAAAACATCGGTTATCATTAACGCTTGTCAGCGTTGTTTCTCGACCGTTCTAAAATATTGCAATAGCTTCTCTATAATTAGAATATTGGCTTTCCACTGCTATCAACATGTTTCAAATCTAATATGTCATTCCAATACATCTATGAAGAGAAAGAGATGTAGTGCTTGAAAAATGCACCTACGAGTACCCTGCAAGTGGCGCTGCAGGTGATATCCATTCCATCCCTTGCCCATTCTCAATCTTGCCAAGGTGTTGTTCACATTTCTAGTGCCACCTCTTTTACTCCTTATCTAACTGCATGGTAATTATGTTGTAAATCTAATCTTCCTTTGACACCATTGGAAAGCTGAATGAATTTTCTATACGTAGGCACTATTGCAATTTTAGCAAATATCTTGAGAACCAGTACTGTGGAGTGATAGAGGTAACCGAAGTTTTCTTTAACCCTCCCTATAGCTGTAAATATTGCATAACACAACATAATAATTGGGGGCAGTACCGCTGCCAGGGCAAACTAGGTAGAAGTTCCTCATTTTAAAGATTGGGAAGTAAGAGAGAGTAGTGATTCGCATATTCTGAATGCAGGCAACTTTTAAGCCCATATAGGGTTTCAAGTGACAGGCAAGGCATAGTGCATATCCTCTTCATACATTCAGCATATAACCAATTGCTTCTTAATGAATAAATATATGATTGAGCCTAGGACCTACTTTGAGAGGTTATCGAAGAAACCATCATGATTGTGGCATATTTTCGGGACAGGCTGAAGGGGATAAGCACTCTAAGGAGTACGTTAAAGGTCAAATATCACTTCGGATAGCAATTGAAAACAGCTTCAACATAGAATAACTTCTGCTGAAGAGTTTATCTACTGACATATTTCGGAATGAGGAAGCCGTGTAGGTAATAAATGATTAATAATATCCATACCCGTCCATATACCTTCAAATTTACATTGATTCTACGAGGTATAAGGGAGTTTCCCCTTCGGGCAAACAAACTCGCTTTGGTCGCGCCTTCGGCTTGGTTAGTGATTAATTCATTAATTTTTTGCGAAATGGAAAACGCGTAAAGTACGTCCCCATTGACATACGTGACAAATGGGGGCGAAAGTCTTGCTTTTTATCAAAATCATTACTTCCATTATTTTCGGGTGCCTAACTTTAAATCTTTTCATGTGTCCCTTTTTTGTAAGGGTGGAGAATACATTTTGAAAAACATCCCTTCTATAGTCTACGCAAATGGAACATATCTCAAATGTAGGATTTTCCCTATACTCAGAAATCAAATAGGTACTTCTGAGGGAATTTTAAATTTTCTCTCTCCGTTTCGTTGGATCAATAAAAAATACAGGAAAATGGGACTCAAGAAAACGTGCCCCGATGGGTTTCAAAGAAAATTTTTTTTTTTCTTCTGAAATGTAGACTCAGGGAACTCCATGCCACCCAGTTTCAGTCTCATACGTTTCCCCTTTTTGATGAAAATGAAAATATAAATTGGGCAGGAAATCCTGGTTCCTAATTTGTTCCTAATTTGCTAACTCTTAAGAATGAGATCTTATTCTTATATGGAGTCAGTTAGGGTCACCCACACTGATTGATGTAATTCACATTGTATCAGTGCTGACGCATGTAAAGTATCATCATCCCTATAAACCTTGGGGTATTACAGGTATTGAATGAAATGTGACATTATGGCCACATTTCACCCATGGTCACATTCCCCCAACTTACCCCATTAGATGTGTCATACAGTATATATCATGAATCCACTCTAAATTAATGAATTTCTTTGTTTGGATCCTATAGCATGGATTTCATTATGAGACACAAACTTCCATTTTCGTCCCTTAGAGATGACTTCATAGTCATGGAGATTAGAATGGCTTTAAGATTATTTTAAAGCCTTTACTGCACGACGTGCCATATGAGTTCAGGACCAACTGAACTCTCTAGAGTCCATGCAGCGCGGGTGAGAAAGCTGAAAATGATGTTTGAAGGAGTTGAGCAACAATTTTGTTTTCGGGCCTTCTGCTTACAAATTTGATTTAAATATTTCTCCCCACTTGTTCCATGCTCTAGGAAGTAAGAGAAACCTATAATATTTTTTTCGCCGAAAAAGAAAAAAATCATGCACTGTTTTGTTCCAGCAGAGAATAGAGAACCTAAAATGGTGGAACATTATCAGAGCGAATCGTCTGGTGCTCCGGGATGAATATAACGTGGACGGCAAAGAGTTGCTTCGAAATTTGAGTGACAAGAACGTCTTCACGCCCCCCGAGGAGAAGCAGATACGAAGCAAAGACGACCCAAGGGAGCTATATGACGAACTCTTCGAAATCCTCTTCCACAAGGACGGAAATAAATATGTTTCCATTTTTTTGAACACACTAACTGCTATTGGAAGGCAGGATGCAAGGGAATTCTTGCTTACTCAAGCAAAAGTGACTTCGGAATAGCTCCTTCATTTTCACTAACTAACTGACTGGACGGGTAAAAATAAAATTCTTAGTTCGGATGAGTCGCTGAGTTTCATATTATTCTCTTTCATGTTCTCTGTTTCTAGACATATTAAGAACCAAATCCTGAAAAATGTCAGATATAGATGGTCTTTGTTCACATATGGTACGCGTTTCATTATAAGTTCTCATCTAATATATATAGACGATCGTGACTGACTGAATGACGCTAATTTTAACCATGTTCTAGAGAAGTTAGAAATCTGAAACTTGGAACACATGTACCTGCTGAGATGTAGAGTTCAGAAAAATCCGACTTTGGAGGTACATGCCCTAGGGGTAAATATTTTGGGGGGAGAAGTTTTTAAATATATGTATTGTGACGGATTAGGATGGCATCGGAGGCGAAACTGGACATGTTGGGTTTGGTGGTGTAGTGGTAGCATAACTGACCGGTAATCAGCAGACCTGGGTTCAATTCCCGTCCGTTCCATGGCATTCTTTCGGCCTCTTATTCTTTATAAGTGGCGTTACTCATTCACCCTCTGTAACATCACTTTTCCTTTTGTAAAATGGAGAGACATGGAAAGCTGGACTTTTCATGGACATGCCTACTCAGAGGATGAGTTCAGGAAATATGTAAAATTTAAGATCCATGCCCTGTGGGGTCATATTTTTAGGGGACGACGTTTTCACACAATTGCGCATAATTTCACGCGTACATAGATACAGATACAGATTTCTCTATAACGGTCAATATGATCGGTCCGGTTCTTCTAGGTATTAAGTGCTATATCTCCGTAGGTTTTGCAACCCTTGGTCAACTGCTGTATCATGATGTTGAATACTTAGATATGGAACAAGTAAAAATGTACAGGCCCATAGTTGCCAAACGAGCGGAGTAAATTGCATTTAATGTGCCTGTTTTATCTCAACCAGTGAAGAGCCTCCAATGTCTCTCGGCAACGAAGAGGGAGTCGTGATGAAGTACTGTCAACCCTTCAAACAACGGTACCATTCGTCAGCTTCGATTTTGGCGATGTTATGAGGGTGGCGCTGTGTCTAATGAACGGTATTCCATACTATGACCTTGGGGGAATTTGTCCGCAGGAAGAGGCTGGTGATAAGCAAGGGTGGTCGAAAGCACGGCAAAACAAGGGTCCACTGCTCCTTTTATCTTTATGGAGAGAAGGTAAGACCTCTACACATGGAATATTTCATATCAAGAGCGACTGAGTCGTCTCTCCTCTTCTGATTCCCGTGTTAGTGCAGGCATCCAAACGGGAAAAATAATGGTGGATCTTTAGCATTCTGTGTCTTAGCTACCATTTTCCGACACAGGTGAGCATGTCATACCATACCCCCAAAAAACTAAGCCAGGTTGTCCTCGGCTGAGGAAATCTGTAATCCTGAGCCCCATTAGAGGGCAAGCCACGCATGTCGCTCTTTCTCGAGTTCGTGGAAAAATCCTTATGCTTTTCATGCCTTGAAAAGCTTAAGAATATTTTGAAGGAGAGGAGCACTTTCGTAGACATGGATGAATTCATCGATGCATTGACGGGGAAAAAATATAATATCGGTAGTGGAAGATATGGAGCTGAAGAGAGAGAGGACATATAGTGCTAAAGTTGACGCAACTTTCTTCATCCTCTATAAACCAAATTCCGAACCGACGCTCGGTAAAGTCTTGGAAATTTTGAGAGAAATGAAAAGGGAAGATATAATTTCAAGGTTATTGGAAGACCCTGGTGAGTTGCTTTCTTTAATAGCGGTCCAGTTTTCAATATTTCCAGGTTAAAAACAGAACTATTTAAAGCAAAGTGTGAAACATGGATGTGAACCCTTTTTTTTGCCAATTTGTCAATGTTATGAATACAATTTAAACCGCCACTGCAATAACGGTCTACTCGAGTTCCTTGGTTTTGTTTCGGAAAAGATTCAAAAAGATGTCATAGTTTATTCTGCAATTCCTGAAGTATATGCATGGCCACGTTTCATTTTGAAAAGTCAGTTATGCAATAACAATCCAATCCTGATTCCTTTCTGATTCCTTATTTTCAGAGGTTTCCCTCGTAAGATCCAGCACATAATCTCCAGCAAGCATCACAAGAGATACCGATTTACCGGGAAGAAGTAAGCGGTCAGTGACTTTCCTACTGCATTACATATAGATCTATGTATTAGGTCTGTGTATCAGCTGGCATTTATAAACTATACAATTCTGAGATTAAGTATCTGAAGAATGAGTTCATAACACCTACAGTTCTTGTTCTTGGAATTAATTATTCTATTATTTTGAAGCTGGAAACCATGTTTAGAGATGATCTCATGTTGATGACGATTCAACCCTGTGTAATGAACAAGGTTGAAAACTCTTGCGTTCCTCTGGTAGCCGTAATCCTCATTATCGTTTTTAAGAAAATGTTTTCTGTTTTTAGACATAGGAATTATGTATTGAGGATATTGATCCAATTCAAGCTTCGTCAGGAAACCAGGACGAAGGAGGGAATTGAATGCTGCTCTTCCACTTTTAACGTTCTTATAGAACGTTATAAATGATTAGTGATTAGTGAATATAAATGATTAGTGGCCTCTCTCCCTGCAGGAAAGGTCAGATCTACATTCAGGAGTTCATTGGGCTTTTCATGTAAAAAATATGCATTACTACCGAGTTTGTTTGACCTTCGGGCAAACAAACTCGCTATGGTCGGCGCTTCATTACCTTGGATAGTGATAAACTCATTTATTATTTGCGAAATGGCAAACACGTATTTAAATTGCGTCACCATTGAAATACGTGGCATATGGTGACTAAAGTCTCAATTTTTATCAAAATCATTTCTTCCATACTTCCATGCAATCACACTTCCATAATTTCTAGTGTGCGTAATTTGAAATCTTTTTATGTGTCCCTTTTTGCATGGGTGGAGAATACATTTTGAAATACTTCCCTCCTATAATCTACGCTAATAGAACATATTTCAGAAGTAGAATTTTTACTCTACTCAGCCATGAAACAAGTACTTTTGAGGGAAGTTTAAATTTTCTGCCTCTGTTTCGTTGGATCAAAAAAATCAGGGGACTGGGTCTTAAAAAAAGTGCCCTGATGGGTTTTAACGAAAACTTTTTTTCTTCTGAAATGTACACTCAGGGAACTCCATGGCAGCCAGTTGCATCATTATACGCTTCCCCTTTTTGCTGGCGGAAAAAAAATATATTTGGAAAAGCGACCCAACCAAAAGCTGTACTCTGAGGAGACGTATAAAAAAGTTTAAGTTTTCCTTAAATCAACATCACGTCAGTGATGCGTGCGCCAGCTACTTTTCTATGTCTGCCCCATGAACCACATGCCCACAAAATTTCAATATTATACGTTTGCCCTTTTCGCTGGTGAAAAAAACATGCTTGGAAAAGCCGACCCACCCAAATGCCATGCAGGAGGGGATGCCCCATGAAAAATGAATACTCCCTCAGTTCAGTAATATCATGTCACTTATACGTGTGCCAAGTTTCACCTTTCAATTTCTGTCCAATTCCAAGCCTAATTTTTTTTTCGAAACATCGCCCCTGGAAAAAATTCCCCCAGTGGATGAATCGAGACTTAACATTTTTATTTAACTCCTTGTCTCAGTAGTCACATTCATGCAAAGTTTCGGCTTTCCATGTCTCTCCGTTTTACTGAAGCAAAAAAAAATGCGGAGGGGGAATGTGTAACAGGACATGGAAGGTAAAAAAAGCCAAAAAGAGAGCCAAGGAATGGTCAGGAACTAAACCCAGACCTTCTGATTGCCGGTTAGAGATGCTACTACCACACCACCAAACCCAGTTGTCTCTCTGAATGCCATCCTCCTCTGTCACAAAATATATTTAAGAAAAACGTTTCCCTCAAAAAATGTGTACCTCCAGGGCATGTACCTCCAAAGTCGGATTTTTTCTGTACTCTGCATCCCGAAAGGTACATGTGTACCAAGTTTCAGATTTCTTGCCCTTCCAAAACATGGTTAGAATTTGAGTCAGTCAATCAATCATGATCGTCTATATACCTCGTACAATAGATAACAAAATTCTAGTGTCGTATCCTTTCCATTACTCATGTAGTGGTAGATAATATAGATTTGTTATTCGAAATGAAGACTGTCATCGCAACTATATAAATTATTGTTTTCTTGAGCTTTGTATACAGAAGATGGATTTGGTATACTTTTTCATTCCACTTATTTTTTTTTTTACTTGTAATTTTGTTTTGCTTTTCAGTATTCTCGATGGTGTCTCAGCACCAGGAGATGCTTTGGGAACACCGAGCTTTACTTAGGACTCAAGCCACATTTCCAGTTCCAAAATGCCAAATTCAAGTTTCAGCTTCATGTTCTTCATTCATGTTTTTTGTGCTTTTGTTGGTTTTCCTGTACTTTTTGGCTCTTTTCCCCTTGTTGTGCCTGGATTATTCGTTGCTGCTGTTCATATTGTTCATGTATGGCTACGTAAACTACCCATGCCCATACGTAAGTGCATCTTTGCCCAAGAATTGGAACAAATCTATTGAACACTTTAAATTAGTCCAGCTATGACCTGAATATCAAACCACAGAAACATTATAAGAGGACGAGAACGAGACGCTTTCTGCATGACATGGAACCTCCAACCGCAACCAGGGTAAAGATAGAAGAGAGAGAGACGAAGTTATTTGATGATTGAAATTTTGTCCATATAATGTGAACGTCCAGTCAGAACATGTTATTTTTTGCTTCACTCCAATGGGGATCAGGAGTTTAGGAGGTTGCGGATTAGGTCACCACATTGAGAAAATGTCACCTTATACACAAGAAATCATCGAGATCTTACGAAGCGAAAAATGAAAGGTACAACATGCTAATGAAGAAGATTGGGAGCAAATTGCGCCTGTGGTAGCTGGGTAATTCCATGACAAATCGCCCCAAAAAATTGGATATTAACACCCGACCCTCTCCGATTTTCATGAAATTTTTTATTTGACCTTGCTATTCGACGAAACTCGAAAAGACGAAATTTTAGCGATATCGCATCAGTAGATGAAAAGCTACAGGGTGCTCAAAATTTGGTGATACCATCTTACCTCCTATTTTCAAAGCCCTGTGACACAGGAACGATTCATGCTAGGTCCTTGATCAAGGTGTCAATACACTCGGAATAACGTGAGGATGTGAAAAAGTAGCACACATGATCACTCTGGAAAAATTCAAAGTTTTTTATCGACAAAAATTTTGACCTTTAAACTTGGGATGAGTCCCCAAATTTAAAATTCTGAAAAATTTTCAGTGGAAAGGTCCATGTTTTTTGCTAGCGATAGGAAGAATTACAAAATATTAATATATTTTATTTTTTGAGAAAACACAATTTTTGAATCAGCCCAACAACCTATGTTGTGTATGGGATATTTCACAATGCAACACAATAAGTAAGACCCTTTCCTGGATTTCGGTGATATTGCACCATTTGGGTCTATTTGAATTATCAGTCCTTCCATGAAATGTCAAAATCCGAAATGTTTATGTTTTCTGCCTCTTGGTACATGAGATGTGAATTTCGATGGTTTAGGCCTTCAGTAGGACGTGACCCCTAAGGCAAATTCCATAACTCGCAAGCAACATCAGCAAGAAATGCATGAAACAGCTCATATGATATTTGTGAATAAGGGGAATATAAACATCACTGCGAACACATAATCTATATGAAACCTGAAATCTTTGTATATTTCAAAAGTTATTATATTGTTGGTAATTTCATGATCTAATCGGGTCATTCCATGACAAATCAGCAAAAATTTTAGTATTAACATCGAACCACGTCCGATTTTCAATAAGTTACATATCTTATTTTCCCATTCGGCAACACGATGAGGAGTCGAATTTCAGTAGAATCGGGTCAATACATAAGCTGTAGATTTAAAAGGCATGATTTAGAGATGTCTACTTAGATCGCATTTTGATTCACTAATAAGTCAAAAAACACTCATGACAAATCCTAGATCAATGTATCAATTCACATGAAATCACGTGAGGATGCGAACATTAAAAGAACAAATTATTTTAGTGATTGAAGCATTTCCTCCTGCGATGTGAATACCACATCAGGAGGGTCTGCTGATGATGAAGGCAGAAGAAGAGGTGGGAACGTTTGACCTTAGTGACAGTAATGTCTTGTCAGCATCAGAAACATATTTTTCCCGTTTTTCTTTTGATGGCATTGACATCAAGATTCCTGGAAATTTTAATGCTTCATCTCTGCAGCTCACTCTATTCAATCTGGTATGGAAGGAACATAATTAACTTTTATTAGGATTCGAAATTAAGTGGTTCATCTTAAGTTCAAAGGTCAAAATCTCTGTCTATATGCAACATTGTCTAGTTTCGCTAAAATAATTTGTCCTTTTAATGTTCACATCCTCACGTGATTTCATGTGAATTGATACATTGATCAAGGATTTGCTGTAAGTGTTCTTTGAGTTATACGGGAATCAAAATGGGATGTAAGTAGACATATCTAAATCATGCCTTTTAATTCTACAGCTTATCTACTGACCCGATTCCACTGATATTTGATTCTTCCTCGTTCTGCGGAATAGCTGACATGAAAAGCTGACATGGTTGGGTGTTAATATCCAAATTATTTTTTTTTTGTCATGGAATGACCCGATTAGATCATGAAATTAGCAAAATATAATAAATTTTGAAATATACATAGATTTCAGGTTTCATATAGATCATGTTTTCGCAGTGATGTTTATATGCCGCTTATTCACACATATCATATGAGCTATTACATGCATTTCTTGCTGACGTTGCTTGCGAGTTATGGAATTTGCCTTAGGGGCCACGTCTTACTGAAGGCCTAAACCTTCGAAATTCACATCTCATGTACCAAGAGGCGTTAAATATAAGCATTTCGGATTGTGACATTTCATGGAAAAACTGATAATTCGAATGTACACAAATGACGCAATATCACTGAAAACCAGGAGAGAAAGTGTCTTACTTATTGCATAGCATTGTGGAATAGCCCCTATACAACATAGGTTGTTGGGATGGGCTGATTCAACAATTTTCTCAAATACAAAAAATTTAAATATTTTGTAATTTTTCCTATCGCTAGCAAAAACATGGACCTTTCCACTGAAAATTTTTCAGAATTTTAAATTTGGGGACTCATTTTAAAGTTTAAAGGTCAAAATTTTTGTCGATAAAAAACTTTGATTGACTTTTTCCAGAGTGATCATGTGTGCCCCTTTTTCACATCCTCACGTTATTCCGAGTGTATTGACACCTTGAGCAAGGACCTAGCATGAATCGTTCTTGAGTTACAGGGTTTAGAAAATCGGAAGTTGGATGGTATCCCCAAATTTTGGGCACCCTGTAGCTTTTGATCTACTGATGCGATTACGCTGAAATGTCGTATTTCCTAGTTTCGTCGAATGACGAGGTCAAATAAAAAAAATTTCATAAACATCGGAGAGAGTCGGGTGTTACCCCTTGGTTGATTTGTCCTGGAATTACCCTGCTGGCAGTTCTGGCAGTCCGTCTTCTAAAGAATGCATCATGAAAGGCAGGACTGCGTACGCATGATGAGTGCTTTATTTTTCTCTGTGGACTTGAAATATCGCCTGTCCAACAGGCTGACTTGTTCCGCCTTGCTCGTTGTTCCCATTTTCATTTGTTTTTACAGGTAAACATTTTTTTAACCCTTGCAATGATCATCCTCCTCGGGAGTGGGGGGAAACGTCTCTTCTGACTTTGTGCCACTGGGCTTCTGTTGTGAAGTTTTTACCTTTATTACTGCATATTTTAACAAATATATACAATTAATAAATTCCAAGAAGTTATAAAGTAGACCTGCAGAAAGTGTTGGGCAAGTTGTATAATTATTTGGGAGATCATGATTTCGTCCGGTCCCCTTACTGGATACCCACAGAGAGGAGCATATTCATAGCCAATCTTCAGCATCTTCATCTTCGCTGATGGTGATTCGATCGTAATCTGGTACCAAAAGAAGTCGTGAATACGCTTTTCTTCTCTGTTCATCACCAATAATATTATGACTTAACTGGAAACTGTATTTAAAAGGTTTGAAACACCTACCTTGTCGGGACATAAAATCGTCATAACTCCTGCTTCAGATGAAAATCTAGCTGAAATGCACAAACTGAATAATCTATTTAATGGCAGGTGGCCTCACTTCTTTTTCCAATTTAAATGAAAGGAATAGCAAGAACATGAAACCAGGAGAGATCCTCACACGTTAGTCATAAACATTAATCGCAAAAATTGCATCAAACTTAATGTTACTTTTACACCTGAAATTGCTCATTGCAATTGGAACCTCAATAAAGGCAACATGCAGGCGAAACTGACATTCGTTGCATTTTCCAGTTGTTGTATGAGGCTCACGAAACAGCTCCATCGTATCATGTAGGAATGCGAAAACCAATTTCAATGGTTTACCTAATTTCAACCTCAACCCAACCTCACCCTCACCCTCACCCTCAATCCCCTCCATCCCCACCTTCTCTACAGAAGTAACTAACGTTAGGCCTAGGCTTAACCGACGGACTGTCTTCGGGGTCAGGCCTAGGCCTACCTTGTTTCGTTCAAAATAAACTCAATCCTCAGCCTACCGACCAATTAGGCTGATAAGGATGAATCCCTCGTCTTCGAGAATCCTCGTTGAGGATGTGTAACATTAGGCCGATCGCAGGCCTATTCAATCTCTCATGGCCCATTTAACAGATAACGTGTAACGTTAGATCGAATGTAGGTCTTTTTCGAGTTTCATGAGACATTTCAGTGCGGTCGGGGAACATTAGGCCTATCCAGAGTTCCTCGAATCGTCTCGACTCGTTCTGAGTAGAAAATGCCTTTAGTGCCCATGACAAACGGGCTGGCCGCCATCATGGTAATTTAAGGATGTCCGAGGAGATATATCTCTGTATTCTACCAAATCGATCGGCCACTGCAAAACACCGCTTCAATCTCAGCTCACTCCATGAATTCAGCACAGCAATGTTCCCTAAATTAAAAAGAGAAGATCCAGACAACGCTACTAAGACTGAAGAAGCCATGAATCGGACATAACGCCGGCATGATATCCGGCAACACTGGAGGACGGGACCGGAGCCATTGCGCTAAGCCTAAATTAATGGCATCTAATTTCATTTTTTATGGCGACATGGTACAATGAAAGCAAAAATAAAGGGACTTTTTGTCACCTCCAGGTCAATATCTTTGATTTGGAAGTTCAATTTCTCCGAAAACTGCCCAGGAGTGGCTACCCAGGTGGGTGAAAAAAAAATACCGGTACGAAAGTTTGATAGAGTACCGAAAAGTCTGTTTCCCATTGAAATGTCCTCTTAGAAAGGATTGTGACTGCAGGGGAACATCGATGATCCTACAGAAATAGTAATCCTGCATGGAAAAAGAGAACAAATCACAGCCATATGGATATCCCTGGTCGTAAGATACATTTTGGAAATAAGTGAAAATACTTGAGAAACGGCAACGCTTCTTCATGTTACCTCAACACATATCTGGAAGAGGTGCAGCAACGATGATCGCGACATTTGCGATAAGACGCCCACGCATTCTTTCCCGACCGTCACTATCTACAGAATGCCCCAAAAAATGTACTCACTCTTCCATTCATGTAATTTTGTCATACTTGTCATTAACAGTTTATCCTTTCATTGCCATGGCATTTGGAACCAACAAGGAAACCCATAGCAAGAATCCGTTGTTTCCAAATTCCATATGCCAATGTCTGCTCACCAGGCATGTTTTCATGTCTTGTGCAATATTGATATTTCGGAATTTGGACATGCTTTGGCACAGATTGTCTTTCAACCACCGTCAGGGAGAATCTGAAATGAAAGGATTAACTTTTAATGACAAAAAAGACAAGTTTACGACTAGAAGAGTGGGTCCTTTTTTGACCACTCTGTATATACTATATCTTATCGCATACCTCTTGGTGTATCGGACCAGCTCTCATGTAGTCAAGAGAAATACAAGAGAGTGGAATAAGGTCGTCCCTTCTCTTCCACACAGCGTTTATGAGCTGGTAGGCGACTTATTAAATTCGCAACTTATGATCTTTGAGTTCGGGATTTCCTGCATCAATCTGCTTTTTTTTTAGCAATGGAAGATCTGAGACGCTTAAGGAGTATCTTTAAGGAACGAAACACTTTGATTGGAATGGACAGCTTCATAGATGCTTTGGCAGAGAAAGGTGTCATTTCAGTGGTGGAAGAAATGGAGCTGAAGACAAAGGAGGAATACAATGGCAAAGTGGATGCAACTTTCTTCATCCTCTTCAAAACAAATCCCGTGCCGACCTTGCGTAAAGTGTTGGATATTTTGAAGAAAATAAAAAGGGAAGATATCATCGCAAGGCTGCAAGGACAACGTGAGTTATTCTCCCAAATGATTGAAAATACCTAGTATTTCCCACAATTTCTCATGGAAGACAACAAGCATTTTCTAATTGAAGAGACCCATTTCTGGTACACTCTTAATGCAAAAAATGTAAAAGAACCCCAACCGTAACATTAAATTTTAGCCATCCGGTTTTGTTTTGGAAAATCTTGATGAAAATTTCAGTATTTCTGCCAGAATTTTGAAGGAAATCCACAGCTAGATTTCCTTCAGGAAAATTTGCTATGCAGGAGTCCTTGAGAATTGAATGTGCTTCCTTACTTTCAGATGTTCCCTTCGCAAGACTCAGCACATCATCCGAGGCAAACCTTGGAGGTAGTACTGGATCGCCAGGAGAAATCTCGTTGCCGTGAGAAACTTCGCCATTGTATTACCCCATTGCCGAAAAATAGGGCTACGAATTGAACATATTTCAGCTGAAATGTCAAAAACTGTAAAATTGTGAGATTTTGCAATTGAAGAATGAGTTATTTTCGCCAAGTGTAATTGTTCCTTGAAGGAACCCAGTTCATATCTTTCACGATGGAAACCTTCATTTGAGATTCACCCATATACAGATTGTTTGAACTATGGGTAGCGAGTAAAAAAGTTCGTCAGAAATGGTCTCTGGGAAAATCATGTTCTCTTCCTGATTTAAGGGGGCCTGGTGACGTATCAGATCCTGAAGCAATTCTTACAGGAAATTGGCCCGCTCTGATGAACAAGTTGGACGTTGATCAAATTGCACCGATACTCATCTCCAAGAAAATACTTTCTGTGGAGTGGAGGGATACTGTGAAGGGACACAAAACGAGGCGTGACGAAAGGCAGGCTATTCTCGAAAGTGTTCGAATGAAAGGCCCAACTGGGTTTCAGGTCTTCCGGCAAGCCCTGGAAGAAATCCAACAAGGTCATCTTATTCCACTTCCCCATCATACATCATCACATCAAAGTGGTCTCCCGCATGTGAACCTGATCGGAAGAGAGCCTGCTGCAAATCCAACATCTCCGCCTGATGGTGAGCAGCCCATTTAAGGTTATTGATTGCCTGTACTAGTGGATTTCCTCTATGGAGGTTTGCTTGAAGGAAAACAAGTTCGAAACGGTCCCTAATTTCCTAAGGGAAACTTCTTGATCCCACGATAATGGTTTTCACACTTGTCTTACCTTTTTAAAGGGAAAAATAACCGAGTGATTAATTTCAGTAAGCAACTTCGGCATGGTTTCTACAGATGTTTTTCTGCCGAGATCCGTATAGTATGATATCCTCGGAATAAGATTCCCTCATCTGACACGAGTGTCAAAAAGAGTATTTGGCATCATCCTAGCCGGCCCGAATGTGGATCGATTTCAAGAAAGCATCATTCAAGGAGCACCGGAACCGTACAGAAGAAGTGCTTTCTCAGATTGCAAGAAGCAATTCCAGACGCTCTTGGAAACACGCAACGTCGTGGCATGTATCGTGGTTCTGATTGCTGTCGGCACATACTCCATGGTTCCACGAGAATATTCGGTCAGCGTGCTTGCATTTGGTATGGTGGATCATTTTCATACGCTGACTTTCGGTCCTCTGTTAGTGAAAAATTTCAAATTTTGAACAACTGATATTGAGATTCTGTGCTTCTTTATTCCCGACAGGATCATATTCTGACACAAAGGGTGACAAGGCACCGTCTCAGGAACAGGTTGGTTCTACTCTGAAAAGTTCCATTATATTTTCTTCAAAGAAAAGAACGGAAGTCATCAGTTCTTTTTAGTGAACAAGCCTCTAACATCTCTGAATAGAAAGATATTTCAATTACACATTCATTGTAGTTCTTTCCATCTTGGGGAAAAGTCTAGAAGTGATATCTCAGGGGATTCTATTCCCCCAACAAGTTATGACATCTCTTTGATCCGCCTCAGAATTGTGTGAGGCAGTGTGTGGGCTACTCTTTTGGCCAATTGAACAGATAGCGAGTAGGACTACTTTTCCTTCCTCGTAATGGAGTGTCGCTTACACGGTACCATGGAAATCGATCTCGTTTTGCGTGTGAGAAACATATATTCCTCATATGAACAAACTCTGAGTTTATGATGTGCTATGTGCGTTATAAATAGGATGGTTAGAAAACTCCGTGGGAATGTCTGACGCTTCCAGACCATTGTGCTTACCTCTTTTTTTGGATACTATGGCATGGAATTCATTATGTGACCCACACTTCAATTTCGTCGCTTCATAGTTATGGAGGTTAGGATGGCTTTAAGAGGATTATTAAGCCTTTAATGCACGACGTAGCAGATATGCTCCTGACCAACTGAGCCCTCTAGCGCCCATGCAGCGCGGGTGAGAAAGGTGAAAATGCTGTTAGTAGCAATTATGCACCAATAGCATTTTCGGGCTACTGTTCCAAATTTGATTTTAAAAATGTTTATTCCGTGTTTAAGGACGTAAGTAAAACCTATCACAAAATTTTCTCCGAAATGAGAAAAACAACTTACATTAAAGGGTTAATAATGATCGTGCACGCAGAACTGACAGGATGACTGTTATGTTCCAGCAGAGAAGCGAGAACTTAATATCGTGGAACGTTATCAAAGCGAATCGTCTGGTACTCCGGGATGAATATAACGTGGACGGCAAAGAGTTGCTTCGAAGTTTGAGTGACAAGAACGTCTTGAAGCTCTACGAGGAGAAACGGATCCGAAGCAAAGACGACCCAAGGGAGCTATATGACGTGCTCTTCGAAATCCTCTTCCAGAAGGATCAAACAAATGTTTCTATCTTTCTCAACGCATTAACTGCTATTGGAAGGCAGGACGCAAGGGACTTCTTGCTTACTCAAGCGAACGTGATGTCGGAATAGCTCCTTCATTTTCACTAACCAACTGATTCGTTGGGTAAAAATAAAATTCTCAGTTTGGTTAAGTCAGAGTTTCATATTATTCTCGGTGATGTTCTCCTTTCCTAGGCATATTAAAAACCAAATCCTGAAAAATCTCAAAAATACATGTTTTTTTTCTCTTCTGGTATGCGTTTCATTATTAGTTCTCATGGAAGAATAACATTATTAGATTTTCGAATATACGAATATCATATTGTTGGCAGAGCGAGCATGGCTCACTCAAAGTTTAAAGTGACAGAGACTGTCGTAATATTGGTCTAGTTGCAATTCAAGATACTGAGAGAGCTGAGGGGCTAAAAAGGGCTACCTTGAGAGTGAAATTAGTGTTGGCATTGGTTCAATTCAAGTTGAGTATGAAGTTATTCCTGGCAAGAAATTCTTATTGTTGATATTCGGTATTTCAATGCTTTTATCGGTTCCTGAACGTTGACTTAACTGGCATAACTGAAAACTACAGCATTCCTAACCTTTACTGAATCTGCCGTGAAAACCTTTCGAGGAATTACTGAAAATAAATTCTTTCCCCGAAGAGGTAGCGCACGGTCCAAACACATTGTAGGCCAAAAATCCTCAACAATGAAGCTAGGTGGACACACCTTGTACCATAACATTGCATTTTTTTGCAGGAGGCCTTTAAATCTCATCATACGCTATCTTCTTACTCGCAAAGGTATGCTCTCATGCTACTCTGCTTTGTGTATAAAAATTACGTTTACCACTAGTCCAAAATAGAATCCCTCCTGAAGTACGCCTCAAGTACCTTGAAGACTCGAAAAGGCATTATGATATCGGTCTGATCAATTCCACAACACATGTAATAATAGGTCTCAAGAAGCATAGAATAATAAGAACTTACCCTGTCTATAACTTAACACGCCGTGCAGAGGATGGTCAAGGGTAACTAGACCCCTGGCTTACGTCACCTTTTATTGTAAGACCTTCCTCTACTTTCAGGAGATGGATCTGCCATATAAATGTGCCCGCACCTGTTATTTAAGCACCCCGCTCTTTCCCACAGGCACGAGGTGTTGCTTCGCGGACTTCGGACAGCCTGGAAACCACCCGTGGAAAGAGGATCCCCAAAGGAACACTACGGCCAATATCTCGCCTGCAGAAAACCAGCCTCAAGACCCACTCCTGGAGTTACGTTATTCCTTCACATCTTAGCAGAAGTATTCTTATGTGTGCAAGGAAGTATGAATAAGTGCATGAATAGACAATTACCTTATCAATACATTTATTCTAGCTAAATATTACAGGCAATGAAAAAATAATTTAAAAACTTAAAAAATTATAAAAACAAGCAAAATAGAAGCCAAAAGTGCTTGCTCAACCACAAAACAATCTGACTATATGCACCATAAAATAAGAAAATCTAGGGGAAAAAACGCTATACAATGACCACGTATATTAAAAACTCTTCACTCCCCTTAGAGACCCCCGGCCTGACAACACCACCTGGTGGTTGGCTACATACCAACTCAATCATCTGAATCCTCTGCCCTCCTACAGCAAACCGGATGCTTTTATGATATCAACCTGTATTAACTCAACAATTCCTGTTCACTTTTCTATGTATACACTACCTCACCTCACTCTACCTCCGTAGAAAGAGTATGCCTTGTGAACAAAGGTAATTGAACAAATAATTGAACAAATAATTACTTGCCTATTCACTAAGTTCACAGATCAACTGACTGATTGGATTGTTTTCTGTTTCGTCCCATTCTCATGAATCGTTACATGCGGGAAGGATGTGACTTGAAGTATCCTGCATCGAGTTCATTCCATTTTTTAGTCAAGCGGCTGGGATAAAATATGGATACAATAAGATACCGTACTGGACGCAACAGCCACAAGGCCAACAAATGCGTCCTAACGCTGAACCCTCTTACCCATCTTACCCTCCCTCCCACGACAATGAGATAGGCAAGTAAGATGGCTATCCCGCTTCCCAGGGCTATCTCAGGGGGATAGCCCCGGGAAGTGACCCAATATTTAACATTTCTGGAATCTGACCATCGATCTCCTGCCACAATTGCTCGTCTGACGAATATCCCCGTTAGGACTGCCTAGTACAATATTGTCAAGATCAAATAATCCGAGAGACCAGGTCGAGCGAATCTTCGAGACCAGAGTCTGGTCTTCGGGATTCGAACATGGAAGTCGAGTGACGAAACAGTTCCAACTCGAGGAAGTACCCGAAACGATCCACTGGTCGTCGAATGGTCCCGACGTCGATCCGATCGAGAGCCTCTGCTTGATCCTGAAATATCGTGTCGAGGAGCGGGAAACCATGCAATCTCGACGGTCTGGACAAATTTCCACACGAGGGTAGAAGCGATTCGGCCATTGTAAATCGGTGTCGAGTCAACGAAAGTCGAGTCGATGAAAGCGCGAAGTTTGGCTTTGATCGAATCGAAGCAAGAGAGGATCAATTATTAATTGTGATACTTTTATACCTTGTCTCATGCCTTATCTATGAATAAAATTGGTTTTTGATATTCATCCCATCCACCCTGAGAAATACTTAAAATACTGATAGCCAAGACTTCTGCATCTTAGTGGATAAACTCTATTTATGCAATAGGAACTGTTTCTGCAAGCGGATAAACTCATCTGCAAGAACTGCTTAATGAAAATTCCACGTTTCCTATTGCAACTAAAGTCTGAACCACACGAATTGTGGAAGTTTCTGGAACTTACTGATTTTCTGCAGTTTCTAAACCGCATTTTGCATTTCTTACTTTGTCAATTCAATCAAAATGTATTTATATCATTTTAAGAATGACTATCATTACGCTTTAATTCCCCATCCTGAATTGCCTGAATTTTTTCTAGCTAATATTATGTGTAATTCTAAAAGGATTGCATTTCAAGTCATGAGACATTTCCAAGGAGCATAGGCACAGTCTTCCTTTAGCAGTGTTCACCACATCTGAAAGACATAATAACATCATGAGGAGGTAGTTTTCAAGCACGTCATTTTTGGAAAGCACAATATTGTACTTGAAAGCAAGGCAAGGAATCTTCCCGAATATTCAGTACGTATTGGGCGATGGAGTACTGGAAAGGCTGCTTCTTACTGAAATGTCTCTAGGGAAGCTTTATGACTGTGGGCAAAATCGAATAACCCACTGAAGTAGTAATCCTGCAAACTACACGTGCGAAAATCACAGCTACATGGGTAGGGTACCCTTGGTCGCAAGACGAAGATAGGTTTCGGAAATGAGTGGAAATACTTGAGAAAACGCGACGCTTCTTCATGCAGTTCCATCACCAATCCGGATGAAGCACAGCATACGATGGTCGCTACATATTCGGTATGACGCCCACGTATTCTTCGCCAAACGTTATTATCTATGTACCTGTACAGTGCTCTCATCACATGCCTCTTGGTATCTCGGACCAGCTGTAATGTAGTCTAGAGGTATACAGCAGAGTGGAATGAGTACGTCTCTTTTCTTCAACAGAGCGTTTATGAGCTGGTAAGTTATTTTCTAAAATCCAAGCTTGCAGTCTTTCAATTTCAGGCTACTTTCATTCATCTGTTTTCTTCTAGCAATGGACGACCTGCAAAGTTTAAGAAGCGTCTTCAGGGAAGAAGAAACTTTTATAGACATGGACCGCTTCATCGATGCTTTGGCGGAGAAAGGTGTCATTTCAGTGGTGGAGGAAATGGAGCTAAAGAAAAAGAAGATATATAATGGCAAAGTGGATGCAACTTTCTTCATCCTCTTCAGAACAAATCCCGGACCGACCTTGCATGAAGTGTTGTGTATTTTGAAGAAAATGAAAAGGGAAGATATCGTAAGGCTACGAAGACATCGTGATTTACTCTCTAATAGTTGAATAGATGTTTAACAACTTCTCAAGGAATACTTGAAGCATCTTCTAATTGAGGAAAGCCATTCATGATACACACTTGATGCTTACAATTAGAGCTGCTACCATAACGTTATGTTTGAGTCACCAGGATTTGTTTTGGAAAAGAATATTGCAGAAAATGGCAACATTTCTTCCGTGCTTTTGAAACAAATCCACAGCCAGATTGCATTCAGGAAAATCTGTGATACGGGAGTTATTGGCGATTTTATGTGCATCCTTACATAAAGAAGTTCCCTTCGCACGACTGGGCACATCATCTGAGGCAAGCCTTGCAGGTGGAACTGGTTCACCAGAAGGAATCATGTTGCCGAGAGGAACCATGCCGCTGTATTTCACCATTCAGAAAAATAGGGCTACGTATAAAAAACATTTTCAGCTGAAACGTCAAAACTCTTAAATTGCTGGATTTTGCACTTGTTCTTACTCAGCAAAAGCGGCTATTCGCGCACTCGAAGCCATGTTGCGTACTAAGCAACTTCAGTCAGTAGGTCCTTCTTTTCGATGACAACTACCGCTTCGTCGACTTTAAGTTCCACGTCATACGTCAGGCTGGGTTCCTAGACAATTGTCCCACGTCTGCAACAAAGATATCCCAACCAATAGGAATGTACGTTTTGCTCGAGATGTATTTCTGAACAATTTTCTCGCATCCACAACTTGAGTTTCTAGCAAAATATCTCTCTATCTATCTATAGCAAAATAAGGGTAAATACATTACACTTGGTAACCTGGGTATTTGTGCGTTTACCAGATTGCACCTCAGTTGTGTATCACCGAGTCAACAATGCCATTAGAATAAATGTCGTTTGAACACCATCCACTGTGAGACCCGTGGATGTTACTCTTCGTTCCAGATCTGGAACGCGTAGCCAAACCGCCATTCGAAAATCTAAAAATTGAACGTAATTAATAGTAATGCGTAGTAATACATAGAACCCTAGTAATACGTAGAATCCCCGTCCTCCTGAAAAACGGGTAACCAAAACTCTCTAGGCTATTGTTCCTGGAAACAGCTCAGTTTATAGCTTTCAAGCTGGAAACCTTCCTTTGAGATTCACCCTTATTGAGATTGTATGAACTATGCGTAGTGAATGAAAAAGTTCTTTAGAA